GGGTCCCTTCAGGGCTTTAAATGTCTAGGGATATGGTTAATAGTCAAGGTTAATAAAATATTTGACACAACTGTGCCAGTCTTGCTTAGAAGCTGTTCGTTGTAATGGATGCAGGGGGCTCAGAATAATGAACCCTAGTGGGAATGTGAAGGTAGAGATTTAAATTTCTTTTCCCCGGTGGGAGTGTTTCAAAATACACAGTGTTTGAAGTCTGCCTGTCCTTTTGTTAGAATCATAGAATCATAGAATCGTTTAGGTTGGAAAAGACCTTTAAGATCATCCAGTCCAACCATTAACCTACCCTACCAAGTCTACTCTAAGCCAATCAAGGGTAGACTAGACTGAACCATGTCCCCAGGTGCCACATCTGCCCGTTCTTACACGATGTGTGGCAGCTTTAAGCCAACCTCTCTGCGTCGCATGCCCACGTGTGTTCGCTAGGAGAACTTCCCAAAAGGAGATGTCGGCCACTTCCTCCATCTCACGTTAGCACAGAGTGCCGGGGCAGGGGGAAGGAAGGCCCCCCCCAAACTCCTCTTCTCCCTATGGAGCTTCCAGCATTCTTGCTCCTTTTTCCCCTCTTTCTTGGAGCTGGTGCAGTGCTTTCTACCACACTGCCTGGGTTGACGGAGTAATTTTTTCCTGAGGAGGTCTGAAAGTTGCTGCTTTCTTTCCTCCATCCTCCCTGAAGATTCTTCCTTCTTTTGTGAAACGTATAAAAATGTGGGGAGAGTTACTAGTCTGAGTTATTAGGACTTGGTTTTAATTAAACAACAATCTCTTAACTTGCTGCCTGCACCAGGTACTGCTAATAGGTATAAGCGGTGCGCCTGCGTTTGCTCCTTTCTGCTGTATTGGTCATCACCTTTCTCCTTACCTGGAGATTATTAAATTGGTTACTCAGTTGAGTGCAGGTTTTGTCCCTTATCTGTATTGGACATAGAAACAAAAATATACTTCTGAGCATCAAGAAAGAACAGTTTGCTTCCGTGAAGAATTTTCATTTTCTGGGGAAAATGAATATGAGTTATTTTCTTGTTTCCCATATATATTCTGAGACTAAGATGCAGTTTGCAACCACTAGCCTTTCCTGTTCACTTTGAAGATGTCACCACGGATCGGTTTGATACCTACAACTTTTTGTGCTATCCGGTCTTTTTACAGATGCACAGCACCTCTTTGCAGTCAGACGTTGGTGAATTTGAAAAGAATTCATTGTCTTGTAAGATTGGTATCCCAAACTGGATTCCTGAGCTTTGGGGGTTTTTTAATAACTTTAATCATTGTCCTCAGCCTAAAAAAATGCTGTGGCTACAATAGCTAACAACTGCCTCTTTTAAAATAAAATGAATAGTTGGGTGCAGTGTATTGGTGTTACGGTTTCTTTATGTGCAGAAATAGGGCACTACATGAATGGTCTGATTGCTGTTGTGTTTATTTTTCTACCATTTTAATAAATACTATGTCACTATTTTAAAATGTATATTTCAAAAGTATTTTTTAGTGTTGGAGAAAGTTGTTGTTATGGTGGTTATGAATCTCATAGCATGTCCATTAATTTGCACTTAAAATAATAAAACACCAAGTTTATGGTAGATGCAATTCTCCAACTAACCTGAGTAGGATCTGGATCGGGCCCTGCCTAAGAATGTATTCTTAATTTGTCCCAATGCCTGTTAGGAGCTTCCTCTCCAGAGAGTAAAGACAGCACGCCATGCCATGGTATTTGTCTTATAAATTCCTAATGTAACTAAGGGACAGAGAGGGAAGGGGAAATGCACATTGGAACAAATTGGCAAATTGCAACAAAATTTAAATAACATCTTCTATTTTTTTAATAGTTGACACCAGCATCAAGTGTTTAAAATTACATTTTAAACTTCTGATTGCAGAAGTTGGCGTGCTCCGATGTAGTTCTGTCTCTTCGGTTTCTCCTTATCTCCTTTTCTCCTTATCGCTCTCTACAACTCCCTGAAAGGAGGTTGTAGTGAGGTGGGTGTTGGGCTCTTCTCCCACGGAGTTAGCGATAGGACCAGAGGAGATGGGCTCAAGCTGCGCCAGGGGAGGTTTAGGTTGGATATTAGGAAAAATTTCTTCACGGAAAGGGTGGTCAAGCATTGGACCAGGCTGCCCAGAGAGGTGGTGGAGTCCCCATCCCTGGAAGTGTTCAAAAAACGGGCAGATGTGGCACTTGGGACATGGTTCAGTCTGGTCTACCCTTGGTTGGCTTAGAGTAGACTTGGTAGTGTGGGTTAATGGTTGGACTGGATGATCTTCAAGGTCTTTTCCAACCTAAACAATTCTATGATTCTATGATTAACAATAAATGATTTATAGCCACCTATTCTCAATCACCTGTTGCAGCTTTTGCAGTGGGTCAAAAGCAAACCAAAGCCAAACGCCAACAAAAAAGAGCAGAAGAACGCACTTGTTTTCCCAGACCTGGTTTCTGCGAGGAATGAAATTTTGCAAACGTCAAAACAGTGTTTTCCTTGAATATTTTGCATTTCAATGCATTTCATTTCTGCTCTTTACATTTGCCTCTAAGTAGTTCAGCTATTTAGCAACTGTTTTCACTCGTCTTTAACATCCGCCTGTCTTTGCTGTTAGGCACGGCTCAAATGCATTCCTAGCAAGAGGAGTTGTTGTTGTGGCTGTTTATTAGGCGACATCATTTGCCTACCGTCCTGGAAGATTTTTAAGTGTGTGCTCACTGAAATGTACAGTGTTGCTGAGGAACCTTTTGCGTTTTGGTGCTTTGCTTCGTCTAATGATCTGGTTCTACAATGATGAGTTTGTTTACTTACTTTTGGAGGTGGCACTGAAATCTGTGAGAGTTGACCCTTGAGATGAGACTTCACATTACTTATAGAGTATGAATATTAGTGTAATCTCCTCGTAGACATCCATAGACTTACTGACGGGTGCAGTATGCACAAAAAGTGTGTTTTTCTTCATGCTGTGCGCATTATTCTGTGGGATGTTTTTTTTAGCGCATCCTTCTGAAGCTACATGAAGGTACTAAATCTTCAGGCTTAAGCTGTGCTGACTGTAACCAAAATGATCAATTCCAACTTAGAGTTCTACATAATATCCAACAAAAACGTTTTCCCTACGCGCTCATTGGAATGGGTAATTACTGTAGCAACTACAGACTAATTTGAAGTGTTAGCTGTTAATTAAACCACTACAGAGGTGTAGGGTTGTCTTTTGGTGTAACCAAAGCTCCTATTCAAACTTCATTAATCACTTTACAGTTATTGTGTTGAGGAAGGTTGGGACAATCGAGATGCCGGATCAGCCTGGAGTAAACAATTCCTTTCCTCCCAGGTAGCTTGCCATTTGCAAAGCCAGTGGACATGCTGTACCCATGGGCATGGTATCTCCTTTGTGATCCAATTCTCAGCGATAATTAAATGTTAAATTGGTACTGTCAGTGCTCTGTAAACCAAACCAGGTATCTGCCCTCTGCTGGAAATTTAACCCAAACTTCCACGGATGAATTAGCGTGCATCATAATTAAATAATCAAGTCTTCCCTTTTAATTCACTTGGAAACAGGAGATCTCTCTTACGGAAAAAAGATCAGCTTTCTTGACAAGCTAATTAAGTTGCCAAACTGTCCGGCACAGTACATATTAAGCTAACAGACGTTAAGCATGCTATCTCAACCTGTTCATTTTCTTATCATTTCTGCTGATCTTAAGTCCATAATGTTTTGCCACTGTTGATTCATCCATCGTTACGGCAGAGTTCGTTTACTCCGTTGGGTTCATTGATTATGCATTCAGCTACCAGTCTGTCAGAGCTTCGTCTGATGATTCCGCTTTTTGCGTGTTGTACTGATATTAAATAACGCTGATTTTTTGCTATGCCTTTTTAAACTGCGTTCCTAAAAGCTAATGCCACTTGGTTACACAAATGTTTATCCAGGAGTTATTAAATTAAGGTGAAGTTTTTAGAAACTTCTGAGCTATTAACAGAAATTATATGAGCGCTCAGGGTTATAAATAAGATTAAACAACAGTCTTGCCCTGTACTAGGTATGATTTTTGCATGAAAAAAAAAAGTATTAGAGCTTTTCTTCTTCAGTAATAATTGCTAGAGGTATATAGTGGTAAAATATTATAATTCTTTAAAGTTAGTGCCACACATATGACATTACTGTGCATGGTGTCATAAATCAGTATGAGACAATAAAACTAGTGAAGAGGAAAACCTTTAATGGTTTTGTTTTTATGCAAAATTACATCAGATTTTTAGTAGACTTTTTTTTTTGCCTACCTTTTTATTTTCTTACGCGTTCATGGTTAGGAATACACAAGTCATTGTTAGATAGCCAATTATAAATGTTTGTCTTCAGAAATTAAGACAAACTGCTCTTGAAATACTGTGGAAAATTATTTTGGGTACATGTGAGCATTAGCGATAATGCTTTCTAACCTTCTATGCGCTCACACATGCTAATCTTAAAAACAAATGCAGAAAGTTCATTTCACTAATATTTTCTGTGGGTCCTTAGGTTATGATAAAGAATCAGTCATTACCTGTTTTACTTCACTGTAACTGAGAGAGCTGTGTTTCTCACTGTCTTACCGCTGAAAATACCCGTAGGACTGGCAGACCTGTGTGATAAACCTTGTTTTACGTGAAGATTCTGAATAATGGATATATCACAGTTTTATTTCATTGGAAGAAAATGTGGAAGCGGATAAATCCATACTTAGAAGTTTGCTATTATGCTGTACAAAAGTCTTCAATGTGTAGATTTTATATAAAACATGCAGATGTAAAAACCTACTGAATGGTTTCAGTGTAAGTATATTCTTTTGATCCATTGTTTTCATCAGTCTTTCTTTAGAAATGCTATATAAAATCGGTTTAATGTAAAACGTATTAGCTCCAAGTCATTTTCCTGTGAAATTAGTGTATACATGTTGCATATATGTATAGAGGTAACTTTATGTGATCTCAAGTTATTTAATTTTTTCCCTCATGCAGGGCATATCATGTCCCTAGTGGAAAAATACTAGCAGTAAAGGTAAGATATTACAGTAATTTTCTTTCTCGCTTTCTTTCTCTCCATTCTTTCTTGACCTTGGTTTCCTTCCCCTCCCTCTGATTGTTAGATCTCAATTTGTTTTATTGCATTGAAGTCCACATTGTTTATGCAGGAAAACTCGAGTCCATAAATCTAGGCATTTCAAAGGAGCACAGAGTTCCCAGAATCCAGGTTTCACCCCCCGGGAATTGCTCGGCACTGCGTGTGGGTACGGCCACCTCTTCCCGTGGGGTTACGTGGATGTGTCCGAGTGCGGCTGTGGTTTGTGCCTCTCCAGCGACTGGCGGAGATGCCGCTTCACCGTCCCGAATCCCGGCGTTACGGGAGCGGGGATGGGAAGGTCGCGGGATGTCGGCCTCTACCTTTCTCTGCTAATGCCCAGCTGTCCCCAAGGGGCTGTTCGTGAGTGGGCTCTGCAACCTCATTTTTAAATAAGAGAATTTCCCTATTTTCTTTGGGATAATACTCTGTTTTCCTAGGAGATTTTGTGGGTTTAACAGGTTTATTTTAATGTCCCGTGTCCCCCCCCTTGACGTTTGGGTTTTTTTAATCCAACTGATTTGGCTTCTTTTTATTTTTCCTTGTTAGCCTTCTTTGCAGTGAAGCTGTATACTGTAGTGTTCTGTGGTCAGATAAATACCAGTCTTGTCTGAAAGTTTGCTTAAAGCTGTGGTAAACTCATAGCGCAACTCTGACAACAGTATGCCAACTCTTGTATGTAATTTGTTAAATTAGATTAAATTTGTAAATTAGATTGTTAATACGGTTAATCTATACAAAAATACTGAAATATGTCCTTTTTTAATAGATCAATTTTTTTTTAATTTGGCAATTTTGTTAAAACGCAAAGCAGTAGAGACTTTTGGAAAACAAATTAATTGTTGTATTCGTACAATTCCAATTAATACTTTGGGATCTAAAAAAGGTATATTTTTTAAAATATAGCTTATGGAATAATTACTTAGAAAACTGTAAAATGGGCTTTTTGTCTAATTTCTTTTTTTTCCGCTGTCTTTATTTAATCATTAAATTCTGGTGTAACTGAGTTAAACTGAAAGCATGTGGGGATAGGAGAGGAAGGCAAGAGAGGGAGTGATGGGAGCTGGTTGCTGCAAGCAGAATTGGTGTTAAATGGAATTTAAAGATGTAAGACTATACTAAGACTTCAAACGAAGCATTTTGTATTTACCAGGCAATATTTACATATATGGGTAGCTGTCAGATTTGGGCTCAGATTGTCTTGTGGTTCCAATCAGATATCATTTACTAAAAGGAGATTCTGTCCATGTTTCGGCTTTGCTGAGGGTCACGTAAATCCCTTCACCCCACTGGGAGAAATGCTTTTGGTTTTCCAATGAATTGAAGAGAAGCAAACGCTTACTACTGGATTTGAAATGATTGTCTACATGTGGAAAATATGGAAATTGAAACACTGTCCAAACAACTTCTAATTATATAGTATACAAATATCACTTGAAAAAGTTTTTCAGAAAGTCATTTTGAAAAAGGCCTTTCAAGTGGTAGCTGTCATTCCTAAACCTGTCATGAGCAGTTAGAGTAATAGGCACAAAAGTACAGAAAATTGAATAATCAAATTTTTTTTATTACAACTTTCAATGCAGTTGTAATAGGCACAAAAGTACAGAAAATTGAATAATCAATTTTTTTTTTTATTACAACTTTCAGTGCAGAACTGAAAAAGCTCTTCCCCTAAATGCTGGGTTTGTGTAAGGATGCTGCTTTTCCCTGGTACCTACTGCATTGCTTCCTCAAATAATCTTTTTCACGCTCTGCAGAGAGCATCTTCTGTGCCAGCTCTGCCCGGCGCTGGCGTTGCTGCTCTCCAGCCTGCCCTGTGCCGCCGTGGGTGCCCTCGGAAGCTGCCTGGGGAGGAGGTGGAGCAAGAGCAAAATCGCACAGGCAGGAGGGGAAATGAGTTCACCCTTTGCAAGGTTAATTGAAATCACCTCCCTGTGGCAAAACTCCTTTTCCCCCAGCAATTTCACCTCCTTGTTTCCCTTAGAGTCCAAGGGTTTGGTTAGTCCTGGTGGATAATTAGCATCCTGAAGATTTGGGAAACTGGGTTCTCTTGTAGATGCTACTCATGGTGGTCCTGTCACTCTCAATTATATGTATATTTTTTTTTTAGTGTGATTTCAGAGGAAATGTTGCATCAACATGTGTGTATTATCATAGTTTAAAATAACACGCCCGCAAACTGGAGGTCAGGAAGCCTGCCATGGTAGCGATCGTGCCTGCTTGCTCTATTAAGAAAATTACTTAACACGTTTATGGCTCAGCGTACCCAGCAATAAAAAGAGGATGGTAATGCCAGCGTCTTGACGCAGTCATTGCAAGGCTCAAGTGTTTTGACAGAAGATTATCCTGCTAAAAGGGACATCGCTGGATGGATCGGTGAAAGCAGAGCTCTGCATTTTTGGGGGCTTTTTTCGACAGTAATATACAGATTTGATAGGACCAGAGAACATTGTGAAAACCTGTTGATTAAAATGCTTTGAGCTGGTAGGCAATCTTGCAAATATATTGAACAGGAAAACAAACCAATGTTAATACCCATGTTATAGACCAAAGCTACGTCATTACGTATTTTACGTAGACTTTACAGGTAGATAACATGCAGAGGATTTAATAGATTTTTCTAAGGTAACTTTTTTCTAATTAGAGGGAAAAATCCGAATGAAAAATTTGAGCGTACGCTGGCTGATTGCAATTCTTCAACTGCTTTTAGTTTCTCCTGTTCTTAAGCTAGCATTTAAATGGACCATTTGATTAATCATTTGTATACCGACTATAATATTCCCAAATTTCCTTTGAGTTGTACGTACTGTAAAAGACAATTATGTCGCCACAGATTAAATAAGTGAATTAAAACAGAATAGCAGCTTAATTTGACCTGTGATTTTGCTCTCGTTCCCTTTAGTGGAACGTATGCCACTCCAGCAAATAGATGAAGTCATCCATGACAGCTTGTGATGAATTGCCGTATTTATACTGTATATTTTAATAGCCTCACACTAATTTAAATTGAGCACAGAGTAAATTATAATTCAGTCACTTGAGTGCTTGTATTTAACTTGACAACTCATCCTTATTTGTCCTGGAGGTGTAGTGGAGAGCAGAGGAAATATGCTCAGGTATTCCTCTTTTAAAAATTAACCCTTTCCACTTGGAACGTTAGGTACGTTGAGTTCACGCTGTGTTCCAGGCGTGCTGAGCGATTCCAAGATTGCTGTATTTTCGGCAGGAGCTTGATAAGGAAGATGTGCAGGAGTGCTTGGAGCCCCTTGCTGAATCCCAGAGGACTGCCATATCATTTAAATTTAAAAAAAAATGCTCCCCTCATCTAGGATCCCTCTCCGGCTCTACGTGTGAGGCACCCTTTCGGCTAGTTTTGAAATCGGGGCGGGCAGATCTGGATCAGTCCTGCTCGCCCGCGGCCCCAGGCTCGGCCGCCCCGTGGCAGGCGCGGTTAGCATGTGGTTAGCGTGATCAGCGGCGACCTGCCGAGCTCCTCTGTTCCTGGGACTTTTCTTGGTAGCTTCTGGTGCAAACTTGGTGAGAAATTGTATTGTATTGAACGGTGTGGTGTGAACTCACAGCACATTATTCTACGCTTGATGAATTCAGTTTTACTTTTCTCCTCTCGGGGAAAATCACGGTGATTTTTTGCTACAAAGTTCTTTCCAAAGGTGCAATTTTGGCAAACTTTGTTGTCTAATGTTACATCTCATTTGCTTACTTGTGTTACAGTTGTGGAAGTTTATTCACAGCTTCTTCCTTGGTAGCAATGGGTTTGAGGAGGTTTTTGGTTTTTTTTTTTTTCTTGCTTTAATGCTGTTGCAGCCCATGCTTAACACTGTCAGCTCACATATTCTTAAAAGTTGTTTCACCCATACAAACTTCATTTTCTAAATAGGCTTGGGAACTTTAAGCAAAAGGAGTATGACCGTGGAGATTACAAATGGAGATTAAGGCAGTGCTATGTAGATTTTTTTTTTTTTTTCCCCTCTTTCTGCCCCCGTTTCAATGCTGTAAATACCGTAAGGTTTCTCCAACCTTGACATCGGCTGGGTGTCTCCCCTGTGCTGTAAGTCACACGAGCCACGTGTGTTTAGATGGGAGAAAACACTTCGGCACGATAGTTACGCAGAGAGTGAGACGGTGGTCTCTCCTAATTTATTTTGTGGTGATATTGCTTGGTGTGGTGATACATGCTTGCCATACCGTTGCGGTACGTGCCCTGCCCTATGGGATCCCGAACGCTTGTAAATAGGGTCGCTCTGCTTTTCCAGGTTATCCTCACTATTAGAATGCAGGGTCTGCGTGTAATTATAGTTAATGCAAATCAGCCAGAGACCTTTCTTCGTGCCAGGTCTTGGTTGATTGGGTGTCAGTGATGTATTTGACGCTGATCATGCTAACTAGTCATCGTTCAGGTCGGTGAAGCCTTCACAGTGAACCAGGCAGGGAAATTTCTCACTGTGAGTAGAATTTAGTGAGATAAACTTTAATTTTAGACTGTTGACAAGATTAAATTCTGTTAATATTCAATGGGTAAAACTGATGGTATTCCAGCAAATTATTTTAAGTTTTTCACGCTGGAAAAATGTAAGTGAATATTGTTGGCAAATGATTATTGATCTAGACAAGTGTGTTAAACGTTTCTTGGCAGCCCTGTATTACACTTACAATTTAGTTTAGTGACAGCTTTTATAAATAACCCTAAAGCAAACTCTTGATAGAAACAGGTTATCGTTTTTTCTTTTAGACAGATTTTGATACTGTAAAATGCATGTGTTTGGAAATGGTCTCTCTGTATTTTGTTTTGTCAGCAGTATGTGCAGCCTGTAATATCTGTTCTGCTAATTCTGCAAATTGACTAGATTTTGTTTCCCTTTAGCTTAAAGTATTAAACTGTGAAATATTGTGTGGTGGCAGACTGAGCCTGGCTAAATGCATTTGGAGTCCATTTTGGTTTATGTAGTGGTACTTAATTATTAAGCGCGCAACTCTTCAAATAACCGTGGCAAAGAATTGTTGGGAAAAGTTGACTTTCAATGCTGGTTCTGTCGGAAGCAGCATCCTTATTAAGAGGATCTGTCTTGAAAATCCTGAAAGCTTGTAACTGCAGGCGCTGCACCCCACCTCCACTGCAGCACTCGGTACTTTAGTCCCGGGTAGCAGCCTGGCTCGAAAATGATGAAAAACAAGGGCACGGATGAAGGAAGCGGCAGATAAGCATGACAGAGAACGGCTGCTTTGAGCTGCCGGGCGCTCAGTCAGGTTGTTTGTAGTTGTTTTGAGGAATGCTTTGGTGATGCTTACCTAAACATCTGCACCATCTGCTATCATCTGCATTTTTTCCATATATTTAACAGTTTTCCATGTTTCATACGCTGCTAGGAATTTATATGGAAAAAAAGGGGGTAAATATTAAAGAAACTGAAACTGTAAGTGGTGGTAGGAGACAGTCCTTCAGGACACCGCTGAGACATTCGGAGATACTTTCAGTACGGCAGTCCTTAGCCCTTAGGGTTGACATCGGCACGTTCAGCCTGACCTGCCAGGGTCGCAGCTTTGCAGGTTTTTTCACGAGACATCTTTGCAGCGAGGAGAATCGGCGCCGGGCAGGCGAGGAGGAGGCTGTGCCGAGCGGGAGCTGGGAGGGGGTCGCACTTTGGGTCAATAAGCAGCAACTCTGAGTTTACCGACCTGCGGATCTACCACGCCTGCTCTTCACGATACACGTGGGGCTTGTGTTCAAGTTCTAACTCGTCTCTTGGTCGGATGGTTAAACCCAAACCTGACGACGTTTCATGGATAAAATTGACTGTATAGCTTAGCTTACTTGTAACTGACTTTTAAAAGTAAATAAGTCTGTCCTTTCATTTCCATTTCTTTCCTTTGCTCATCGCTCTCTTAAAATATTCTTTCCACCTCTTCCTCTCTTTCCTTTTCTCACATAAGGATAATGAATACATGGATCTTCAGGTTTTTATTTTGAATCTTTCACTTACTTTTTATGCCAACTCTGATCACGTGTCCATTTTTTGTATTTTAGGTGATACCCTTAGATATAACACTGGAACTCCAGAAGCAGATAATGTCAGAGTTAGAAATTCTTTATAAGGTATGTAGATTTTCTCATTTTCATTGTTCTTGCTTATAGTCTTCCTACAGCGATTTTTAAAACAGGCTTCTCTTTTTCCCTTTCTTTTTCCAGTGTGACTCATCGTATATCATAGGATTTTATGGCGCTTTTTTTGTAGAAAACAGAATTTCCTTGTGTACAGAGTTCATGGATGGTGAGTTGTGTATCCAGTGTGCTTTTGATTGCTAAGTATGTAAATGGGAAAAATCATATAAAGATGTGCTTTTCCAGAATGGAGCAAAATGCAGTAGTATGACTTGAAAATGTGAAGTATTAATAACTTTGCAGGTAGTTTTAAAAAAAACAGGTTAGTGTTGGGCTTGTGTTATATTCTCCATGGTACGCTGTATTTTCCCTGAGTGCAACTTCACTTACTTTTATTGAAAATGTAAATAGAACAGAAATAAATGCTAGCTTAATTTGTGGTTTGATATTGGAGTCTTCCATACAATCTGTCCTTGCTGACAAAACAGCTGTTCCTCACTTTTACTGTTTTGATAGCCAAAACAGATTTTCTTTTAAAGAAATCTATTAACCCAATGTCCTATGTGTTTTCAGTGGAAATCGTCTCTTAATTGCAAGACAAGGAATTATTTTCTAACACAGCTGTTTAGCAGTGCTGGGCTGAGTTTCTTTTTGAATGTGCTCTTGTTTCTCCCAGTGTGAATCTTCAGACCAACAGTGTCCCCTTCCCCACAATCTGACGCTACTGTCATTAGGGAGTTGTATTAGTACTTTGCTTTGAAATCTTGTGCTGTGTGGCATTCTTGGAAGAAAGGCAGGAAAAGTATACTGATTACAGCAATTTATAATCATTGCTGCCCTCTGTGTATCAATTCTGAGAGCGTGCGTCATGACAGATGCAGTCCCCTTGTGTCTTGTGCGCAAGAACCCCCTTCGCAGCGTTCAACTTTTAACATCACGTCGTCGTTACAAGCAACAGCCTATTACTCTCTCCAGGATTTTCTTATGAGCCAGCATTTTATGCCCTATCCATGTTTTTCACAAAGGTTCAGTTAAGCCGTATATAAAGAAGTAAGGGTCTTGCAAATAATTTGCTATGGAGGGAAGGCTTTCCGGCAGGAAAAATTTCCAAAGCCAAATGTGTACCATTAAGGATCATTGAGTAGCTTCTTTCTTTCTGATGGGGACCACAGATAAAGCCCTTCAGGGTTTTATGGTGCACTTTGTTTTCTCCCTGTTAAAACGGCCTGTTATTACTGTTATTTCTCTCTTTTTACATTTACTACCTCTGTCCCAGTGATCACTGTGCCCCATTTCCAAGTATGAGTATTCTCTCAGATTTTCTATATCTGATGAAAAAGCATTACATTTACTCAACAAAGCCCACAAGTTAAATTCTTTGCTGTTCTCATGCTGTGTGACTATTAGCCATTTCTATGTTCTGTCCTTGTGGTTGCACTCAGACCTGCAAGCCTGTGTTAAGCAGTAGTTACATGCAGTAAGGAAGCTTCTACCTATGCCACAACATGCATCTGCCTAGAGTATGTATGCTCCTACTAATTCAGAGAGATTTTTAAAAATGAAGGACACAAATGCTTGCAGTTTTGAATTCTTGTTTGAAAATATTTAAGCCTCATGACAATGCACAACGATGGTGTTGGCTGACCATGCAGCAATTACTTGGGATTATACTGGAGATGACCTCTGGTCTGCCTCGTGTTGTGCACTCCTTCTGGCAGAAAGCAATAGCAATCATTTAAAAGAAGAACAAAATGCAAATAAAGGGACCTTGCCATTTTTTTCGCCCCGAGCTTTAATTTTGGTGCGTAAGGATGCAGGTGAAGATAAGAAAAAATACTTTCCCATCCTGTATGTGAACAGCTTTATCCTTGAGAAGTTTTTGACCCTTTTGGGCCAGTTTCTAGTATTTCCTGAACTCACATCCCATGACTCTGTTTGCCCCGTTGTATCCTGTACCACATCACAAAACATAGGTATTTCCCTTTTGAATTACCTAGATACAGATGGATCTGCCTTTTCTTGGGATCCACATGACTTAGGGGTACACAAAAGGTGTGCATGTAAGTACCACCACATTGTTTTTTTCCTGGCACCTGCAAGCAGGAGAAAGCCAAGTAACTCCAAGTCTGCAAATATCAACACACTGAGGTTCAACTGACTTGGATCATCCTCCCACCTGCCAGTTGAGCTTAAAGAGCAACAGAGATGTGAAATGAGGCTTTCTAGTCTTTGCCCTTTTATATTTATAATAATGATGTTCTAAATAAAGGTGGTGAAATGCACTGTTGCCTTTTACATAATGTTGGTGCCTCTTTGCTGAAAACTGCTGAACACCCGCTAAATTCCTCTGAAAAGCAGCGAGAGGTGCGGGTTATCAGACTGTACCTAGATGTCTACACATAGATATGGGAGCTAACATTATTTGGAGTTGGAAATGTTGTCCACTGCAGAATTTTTTCTCCATAGAAGAATGGCAGATTTCCCTGATTGTTTGCAAAAAGGTACTTTCCTTCATTTTTCAAACAGCACTACCTTTAGTGACATCTGTAAGAGTGAGACTTAGCAGTTTGGTTATGAAAACAGGTCTCTTTTTGTCCAAAATTTAAGGATATGTTAGAACCATTAACAGGAACCACCTGCCATAAGATTGCCTTCTGTTTGGCTTTTGTAGTGAGCAAGTAAGTATCCGTGATGCTACATCCTCTGATTTCCATTAAATAGTACTTACATTTACTTTTAAAACTGAGATGCATTATAATCCACAGGCAATGTAGACAGTATAGGTTGAAAGATTAAACTTAGTGAATGAATAGTAGTTTCAATGACCTGGAATCAGAGCAGCGTTAGTGAAGACAAACGTATATTGTATTGCTGACAGTAGAGACGATGAGGAAAATGAGCGGGAAAAACCCAGCAACCACCACCACAAAACCCCAGTCATTAGAATAAGAAGTATAGTATAAATAATAACTATTGGATAAGTAAGGCTGAAGACTGGAATAAGGGCCTTGTGACTTCTTTGGATTGCAGCATTTCAGAACGAATGGGATTTACTTTCAAAAACTGAACCATAAGCAAAGTACAAGGTGTAGTTTTCTTAGTTGCTGAGTATTGGCCTAACTCTTTTCCCAGTGGTGTCATCGGTAAAATCCATATGCTACACTGAGAGCAGAGTTAGATCAGTGCTGAGCACTTCTGAGAACCTCAAACCTTGAATAAGATAACATGGTCTTGCAAGCTCATGGTAATATGCTCTGCCTGTAATTTGCTTGCTTTTTTTTTTTTTCTTTTAACCATTCTACTTGGATATTTTTAATTCTCAATTTTAAATTTACTTTCTTGCCCAAGAATTTGTGTTTCATCCCAGGGACATTTTGAACACTGGTTTGGTCATGAATCTCCTTCGCAGAAGATAAAGGAAGCAATCCTTCCCAGTCCCCGGGGAACGTCTGTAGGGCCATTAGAAGGACTTGGGCTTCTCACTTCCCCACGAATGGGTGATGCTGGCTGGACAGCGTTATGCCAGATAGCAAGTTGTGTCCCATACTGGAGTTTACTGGCAAACCTTATCTGCTTGCCCAGGAGCTCCTTGTCTTGCATTTTCAGACGTCAATGTGGACACAGACTGCAACGCTCAACCAAACTTTTACTGGTTTGATCATGGGGAGGAAATGGCTTTAAGCAAGTATATAAGCATTGTATCAGATACCATGTAATGCTAGCGCCAAGTTTTGAGGACAAGGGTTAGGATACTTTGGACTTTGAAGTCCACTGTTGCTTTTTGGGATGACTTGGTTATTCCTGAGAAGTTACGCCGAGCCTGGTGGTTTTGAGTTCTCCAGTTTCGATATGCTGCCCTGTGACTGGGGGGGTTTCCAACAGGAGTTTGAGTATTAATGCTGCAAGCAAAAATAAGTAATATGGGTGAAAAGAGACCTGAGTACTGTTTCATGTGTTTATGCAGAGTTTGGTAGATTTTTAAGGTCAGTTATTTCTGACACAGTTATTGTTATATCATTGATGGTGTTTTTATTAATAACCAAGGCCTAGAACACCCTTGTGACTTTGAATCTAGGGCAGTATTTCATTTTGTATTACCTAAGCACGTTTTGTTTGTCCCTGCAGGGGGTTCTTTGGATGTTTATAGAAAAATTCCAGAACACGTACTCGGAAGAATAGCAGTAGCTGTAAGTACTTTTTTCTTTTTGCCTTTCGGTTTTCGATTGTGCACGTAACACATCTCTGATTTGAGTGCGCACGTGCCCCCTTGGGACACTGAGTCATCTCCAGGATCCGTGTCCTCATTGTGTCTGTGTAAAAGGGAGGGTCCTTCCTATCTCAAGCTCTTCCTAACCATCCTGTGTGCACAAGGACGCCGGGGTGAAGGAAGCCTTCCTTCTGAGTGGCCAACACATGAGTTGCCAGAGGCTCAAGAAACATAAAAGGATGTGATAAATTGAATGGGATAAGAAAACAAATTGTGAATTTGCTGGAGAACTGTGTGGTCGTGTTTCTTCGTATCAACTCTTGTAGGATGGAGCAGTCCTCTTGATCGCCTTTATTTAGCCTTGAAGTCCTTCTGTGCTATACGATTCCTTTCAAAAGTGATTCAGAAGCCCTGTCCTGGCCCTTATGGCGATCCCTCCTCTGCTGCTTCTGCTGATTCTCCTGTGTCACTTCCATTCCAACTGTCCTCATTCTGTACAAAGTAACTCAATTAGATTTGCTTTCCAGGTTGAAAAATTAAGTCAGTTCCTGTTATCAAAATGCAATGGTAGAACGCATTTGCTGTCTTCCCCTGTGGCAGAGGTACTCCTTAAGGCAGATAAGGAGGAGGCTGAAGTTTTTGTTTGGCACCAGCCAGGCCTGACAAAGGCTGCTGGGGGCCAAGCTGCTCTCTCACCCCTGTGCTGGGACCCTGCACACATGAGCGGTCGTGGTTGAAGAGCTATTAGTCGTGTTAGGGGTGGTCAGCAGGGAGATGCTCTGTGATCTGGGAAGAACTATCAGCCCCCAACGTCTGCTCAGTTTGGTAGCCAGGTGTTGACAGTGGGATCCTTAGAGCACCCGGTAGCCCATCATTGTGTCTCAGCAGCATTCAGTGGCTTTGCCTTGCTAGAAATTCACTAGCCGTGATTGAAAACTCAAATTACAGAGGGAAAAAAAAAAAAGTTCCGTATTTTGCCACAGCTGAACACAGGGTAAATGACCAATGTCTTAGTGGATCTTACAAGGGAGAGAGATACTGCTAAACAATTGCTAAATATAAGGAATACTTTGATAACTTAAGCAGTTTAAAGCATAACAAAGTTATTCTATCATGTGCCATTTAATTAAGTGCTGGGTTTTCACATTCATTATACATCAAGCTGACAATTTAAATCCTTTAATCCAACACAGGCAGCTATTTAGTCTCTGTTCATTGTAATTCACAGCTCTACTTTCTCTTAATTTGTGTGGCCTGCCCAGGGTGATGAACATCCTTCTCTGATGCTGTTTCCTCTAAGTAGTTTCAAATCTGCTCATTATTTAGCTTAGCAGTTTCTTATGGAATTTGAATGCTTTTCACCTTTAGTTCAGAGCAAAAACGTTTCATCTCTTCTTCCCTATGGAGCAATGAATGATAAGTTGCTCACGGTGTCCTCATATTCCTGACGCTAAGTAGCGGGTGTATAGTGTAATAATACTGGGATGGGCCTTTCAAGCATTTCTTCAGATGCTCCTTCCTTCTCCTTTTCCTTATCTCACTTCATGTTGTGCACTTAATACATCCACACTAACTGACCTTACCATTTCCTTACTCGCTTTTGTCTCTCCTCTCCCCCATCCTCCCCAGCCCACCTGGCTTGGTATTCTGCAGATGTTCTCTTCCAATTTTTCACTTATCCGTAACTGGGGTCCTTCAGCCCCATCTTTTATGTCTTGAGATTTTTTTTTTTTTGTTCACCTGCAGGGTCATCTCTTTACAAATCTGTTAGTTAGTGAGCATGACTCCCTGACATGGATGGTGAGCTGATGCTTAACTTTTTCTAGTTATTTTATTTGCTGCTTTAGCAACCTGTACCGTGCCCACTGCGGTGCAGGGGGTCAGTAAAGAGGTGAACAAAGGAGCGGGTGCCTTCAGAGAGGGAACTCGCCCTCTTCTCCTGCTTCTCCGTAACAGAAGGTGTGCGCTGAGGCTGAACCAGCGCTGGCAGCTTCCTCTGCTCTGGTGCTGATTTTTTGCTTGATTGCCATGGTAGACTTGTTGGAAGGAGGTAGTGAAAGCCTTTGTTTTCTCTGTAATTTATCCGTGGCAGCGGGAATGGCGCCTTTA